GCCCCTCACCTCCCCCGGGGCACCCACCGCCCTCCCGGGGCTGCAGCCTCTCTCTTGAGGCCCGGCTGCGCTTGGGTCATCTTAGCCCCCGCCGCGGCGAGGCTACGAGCGACCTGAGGGAAATGAAGAGTTAATTAACGTTCCTGGGGCCACTCACCCAGTTCTCAGTCCGGATGGTACAAGGGCCCTCTGAGGCGTACCGGGTCAGCCTCTTTATGAAAACACAAAACTTAACGCCGGCAGGTGCTTTAAAGACACTCCTCCCAGGAATAGGAAGCCAACCGAAGTGGGCTTGGATGGTTTCAATCCCAAACACTTAGAGCCCAGGGTCTCTCTAGAGCAAGCAAAAATATTTAGGTAATTACTTAAGCTGAAAACATGGGGTTTGGTTTCTTGAGTTCTTCCCCAGTCAAATCGTGTGGAAACCCATTACCTTAATTTGTACAACAGCCCGAAGAGTCACAAGTGAACGCAGCCGAGATTTCCTCGAACCTCCAGCGACTGGGGGCGCTGTACTAATGCCTGAGGGCCAGTCCGGGCTGCTTCCTTTCGCGGTTTCCACTGGAGGACTTGGGAAGGGGGTAGTCTGAGACGGCGAGTCCAACCCCAGTAACTGGCCTTTCAGAAACACTGATGGGTAAAACCAGTCTCCTCGTTTTGGCTTTATTTCAGTTTATTAATTGTGCTGCCTTTAAAAATAGCAGTGCTTTTATTTTCACCTTTTTAAAGAAATCCTTTTAAAATGTACTTATTCCCTACGTTCTTAAGGAACACAATGGTTAATAAAATCCTTTGTTAATGACTGACCATCAAACACGATACCTTGGCCAGACCTAAAGTCACAAGGGATTGCTAAGGTACGTAGGATCTCTACTTAAGTGATCTCTTTTTTCTCTTTGGAATGTTCTCATCACCTTTTCTAATATCTTTCAGTTTCTCATCTCCTCATCTGCCTCTTGATCCACTCAGATACTTCCTCTCATCCTTTCCACCTTTTTTTTTTTTTAACTCTTTTCTCCTTTCTTGACTGCTTTTCTCTATGACTCCAGGTGATGATTGATTAGATGTTTCTTAACACAGCCAGCCAATGAGAGATTTCCTTTCTTCCTTTTCGTCCCATCCGTAAATAGGAAGGTGATTCTACATTAAGTGATGTCTTGAGATATTTTCATTGCTGTTCACTCTCAAAAGTTTTTTTTTCCTGCGAGAGGGGTTTCCTTTTCTTCCAGATTTGGCCCTCTTCCAGGCAAAATTGCTGGAAAGCTGATCTCTGAATAGCTGAAGCATAACTGTATATTGTTTTAAAATATGAGAAGTTATCAGAGTGTGGGCGAGTTGGGTGGCTTCTCCATATTGCTGCTCCTGCTCTTGTTTGGTCTGAGACTAAGCTAGCTGTTTCCAAACCTGACTCTAAGCTAGTACTTTACAAAGCTTCCTACCTGGGAGCTTTTTAAAAAGACGGAAACTTGTAATCCACCTCTCAACATTTTGATTACTTTGGGGTAATGGGGCGGGGTGGCATTTTTTAAAAACTATATTTTTAAAAATTATATTTTGGGCATACCTACATGTATAGGCACAACAAGAAGGAATGGCTATTTTGAGGGAAACTAAGACATAATTCAAAAATATCATTGAAGTAGACCTAGATTAGTCAACAATATGCAATGCTATAAAGTTGAGTCAAGTGAGGACTGGGGAATTTATGTTCTGTGGAAAGAATGAATCCCACACATAAATAACCCTTGCATGGGCACCAATATGAATTATCTGGGAACCCAGAGAGGGACAAGAATTTATATTGACTTTGAACAAGTCACTTCTCAGTGCTTCATTTTTGTTATCAATAAAATAAAGGTCATTTTCAATCCTATCTTTCTTGAGATCTCAATAATACTCAACGCTTTGACCACTTATTTCCTTGAATAGTTCTTCCTTTGGCACTATACTCTCTTGGCTTTTCCCCTACATTGCTGGGTATTGCTTCTCTAATTCCCTTGCAAACGATTCTCCTCTCTCTAGCTATTGAATATCATAGTACCTCACAGTTCAGTCTAGGTTCTTTTCTGTTTTCATTATAATCTTTTGCCCTAAACATTATCACCCGCACCACTGGCTTTAGTTATCATCTATATGCTGATGATTTCCACATCTGTATCTCTAGCCCAGACCCTCCCCCTAACTCCAAATACCTGAATTCTGATATCATGTGCTTCATGGACATATTCACATAATGTCTCAGAGTTACAAAGTTTAGTCCAAATGAGTTCATAAACTCTTGTTCTCCTTTCCCCTTATCTATCCAGGTGTTCAAATCAAATGGGCAGTAGTTATCCCTGATATCTCCCTCACTCTCTTTCGCCATATTTATTGTAGCACTAAATCCTGGCAACTTTATCTGCAAAATCTTTCAAACTGGCCCACTTCTTGCCAGTTGCCACCAATCTAATACAGTCTCACTGTATACAACCTGAGCCCTTCCATTCCTTCTCCACTTTGCAGCCAAAACAATCTTTCTAAAGGCAAATAAGGCCATGTCACTTCTCTTAAACCCTTAAACAGCATCTCGTTGCTCTAAGATAAGACTAGAATTCCGAACGTAGCCTACCAGAACATGTGAGGTCTTGCCTTTTCCAGTCTGATCTCATACCACTCTCCCCCGGCTTCCTGTGTGGAAGACCTCCTGGCCTTCTTTTATTTTCTCAAATGTGCTGTAATCCCAACAGCCACAGGCTCTCTGCACATGACCTTCTTCTCTCTTTTAACTTGAGTAAGGAAAAACATTTCTGACTTCCCAGACAAGTTCAAGACCCCTTGTTGATGTTAGCCCTCCTATCACCATGTACCTTCCCCTCTGTGACTTTCCACAGACTGTCACATTTTGCTATGGGTAAATACTAGGTATGTGCCTGTTGCTCCCTTTATGAGGAGGAGGACTGAGGCTATTTTTCCTTACACAGTGCCTGGCACTGAGTAGGTGCCCAATAAATACTTCTTAAATGACTGAATATTGTACTTTGAGGTTCCTTCCAGCATTCTAGAAAGTGGTTGAATCATGCAGTTAGGAGATTATTGATCACTTTAGAGAGAGCAACTTCTGTATGATTAGTGGAAAGTGATTTAGGAATATGTTGGGAGACCATTCATCGTGGAGCTGTCACATTCAGGACATCTCGTAAGCAGAGGCATCAGCTTTTTCTTCTAGACTGTCTTTTACAGGATGCTTGAAAAGCAGACAGACTTAGAAGATAGAGACAGTGTTTCCCACTAGAGTAGAAGGCACATTTGTTTACCATCCAGTATACTAACATCTCCTTTTGTGGCAAAGTTTGAGCAGGTTTGCTTGTAGCCCATTATGAAAATTGGAGGTTTCCAAAGCTTGGGGTTCATCAGCTGTGATGCAAACCCGTGGCATACGCAGCATCACCTGGGATCACTCCATGTTGCCCCTGGGTGAGACCAGGAGACAAGGGAACTGCTGTGACCAGGAAGCTGGTTGCTGTTTGCTGTGCGTGTGTAATACCCGGAAGACTCAGATCTTCTGCTAGCATCCAAGGAACCGTAGCAGGCTAAGTGATTAGCTTGCAAGGAGCATGAAATCTTGGACCCTTCACAGCTCTTAACAAGACACAAGAGGGTGAAAAGAAAGAAAGAGATGAAAAAGTCAAACAGCAAATGGAAACTTGTCTTTTAGGAAGTTTGAGGGGAAAGTCTGGTGAGGAAGAGAGCTGGGACAGCAGACTGAGGTGGAAGAGTTATGCTGGCTGAATTCTCTGAGCAACATTGGGGGTCATAACTCGGAACAGAGCCGGAGGGAACACTACTTGCCAAAGCTCTCCTCTTTGGATTGGGAACTGGTGCGAGTCTGGAAGAGGAGAGAGAGATCAAAGCTGTTGATCTGGAGGTATACCAGTTAAAGCAGCCAGAGGCTTTTTGTCTCTGAGGAGTGTGGTGTAATGTGGGGGTGGAGCGAAAGGCTTTGGAGTCAGGTAAATCTGGGCTTGAATATCTTCTCTATTACTGACTGATTGCTTGATCTTGGGCATGTTATTCTCCTGAGCCTCAACTTACCACCTGTAAACCTACTTTGCAGGATTAAATGGCAGAGTGCATGAAATGCTGGATGCTCAATGAATAAATAATAGCTATATAATTAGGATATCCTGGCTAATTGTGACCTGGTGAGGTTAGGGAAGCCCAGAACCTTCCTTAATATTTCCAAAGATATTTCGGAAGGAACTTGGCCAGAGTCAACTTTTGCTTCAAATTCTTGATCCTGTTGCAATCTCCATCCTTCACTGTGCTGTCCCAGTCATGTTTTACTCCATGGATGAAATAGTTTCTTCCCTAAAATAGAGGAAACAAGGCATAAAATAGGAAGCAACTTGACATTGAACGTTGGCCATTTTCATTACCGGAAATTTCTCGCTGACTGTCATTCTCCTGAGACCCCACCCTGCCCACTATGTTGCTTTGGTATGGACCCTCACTCTACCAAGAAACTTCTCTACATTTTTCTAAATTTCTGGGGCCTCTTAAAGCTACCTCCCTTTAAATCTATCTGGGGACAATTCTCAAATTCTTATTAATTTATTACTCAGAGCAATTGGGGGGCTTTTTTCCTCTGTCTTCATTTTATCCAGAATAGCCTTGGAAGCCTTAGCTTTCTTTTAAAAATCACAAAGATCCATTCAGTGGCTTGCTAAAAAGTAATTCAGTCCTAGAGAACTATTTCTTAACCTTTGACATGAATAGAAATCACCTGGGGTGCTTGTTTAAGATATAATGGTTCTACCATGAGTCCCTCACTCCAAGATTTGGATTCAGAGATCTGCATTTTATAAGCATTCCACAAGTTTCTGATGAAGGTAGTCAATGGGCCATACTTTGAACATCTTAGAACAGCCCAAACAGCACGTGATTTTCACAAATAAGAAGAGTTTTCTCTCTGCGATGTGGAATTAAACTAGGATTGACTCGGTTGTTCAAGATAACTGCTCATCTATGGTTCAAGTCTTTTATGTTGTTTCTTTATAGAGAGACCAATTAGGAAAGACTACGGAATTCCTTAATCACAAAATGATATCCTAATAGTCCAAATTTGTTAGTGTTAATGATACGGGTTCAAAGCAATGCTGCTGGAGATAGTCTTACTTCCAAAGAGGGGAAAGTCTTATCTGGTTACTGGCCAGGACTTATTAAATAGGTTCCTGACCTGAAGGGGCAATACAATAATAGACAGATTATAAGGATTTTCTCTAGGTAGAAAAAATAAGGTTTCTCTATCTGTCTTTTAGACTGTCAACAGCTCTTTGATGTTTTGTACGGCTTTAGGAGGCTCTGATAGCAGCCCTGGGGTTGAACACACCATGATCATTATCCAGCATAACCAGATGACACATGAATCAATTTTAAAGACAGAAGAAGGAGATAGGCATCTATAAGGATAATAAGGCCAAAGATGACTTGGGATTGGGAAAAAACTATCTCCAAACTACCTGCCTTTTTTTTTTTTCAAAAATGCAAAGTTCAAATCCAGAGCAATATTTTATCAAAATAACAATGAGATTTTAATCTGGGAAATATAAAATTTAAATGAGTTAGGAAATGAAAATTCAGATAATCTAAATTCAGTTGTCACCAAATTTAAAGTTCTTCCACAAATTTCAATAGTAAATATTTAAACCAAATTCCATTTTAAAATTACCAGGTAAATCAACAATTCATGGAAAGTAGAGTATCTTTATACAATAAACTGCCTTTAATTTTTACATATAATAAACAAATGAAGTAGGCATCTTTAAAATAAGGACAATGATGTATGCTAATGGGAAAAACTAGGGAAATTGTTTATAAA